TGTTACCCAGGCTGGAATGCAATGGCGCGATCTCGGCTCACCGCAACCTCCGCCTCCTGGGTTCAGGCAATTCTCCTGCCTCAGCCTCCTGAGTAGTTGGGATTACAGGCACGCGCCACTATGCCCAGCTAATTTTTTGTATTTTTAGTAGAGACGGGGTTTCACCGTGTTGACCAGGATGGTCTCGATCTCTTGACCTCGTGATCCACCCGCCTTGGCCTCCCAGAGTGCTGGGATTACAGGCTTGAGCCACCGCGCCCAGCCTAAACTTCTTTTCTTTATAAATTATCCAGTCTCAGGCATTTCTTCATAGCAACACAAGAACAGCCTATCACAAATGATTCACCATTTCCCCAAGTTTCTTGTTTTGGCCAAGATTCTGGCAATAATCCATATCTGACATCATTTGAAGGACTTGGTATCAACTGATACTTGAAATCATTTGAAGCATCTGATACCAATTAATACTTGAAGTCACTTGAAGTGTCAGGTGTCAAGCCATATTTATTATGAAATCATGTGACATTCTAGCATCACCTCCATCTTGATTAGACCCAGCTTCAGCCAATACAGTCTTATCATCATCTGGCTCAGAGAGTAGAGCAACATCCGCATCTGGTTCTTCCAAGGTTTCTACCCAAATCTGAGTAGCCTGTTTTCCTCTGAAAAGGCAATAGGTGGCTACATCATTGATTAATCTTCCAAATGTGTTTCATTATTAGATGATGTGTTATAAATAAATCTCTTTGTAGTTTGGTTTTTCCTCCGTGTTTCCCGGTATATTGAATTCCCTGGGATCCCATATTATTCCCAGCAAACACTTATTTGACTTTTGGATTCATTTTCAGCCATTTTAGGAGATGCATCCTGGACCCAACTATTGTCATTCACTTAGTTTTCTGTCTGGCCCTAGTTGACATGACAACCATCATTTTCAATTTTTATATGACTTGCCAATTTGGTAAGATTTAATGTTGCCCCAAAATTGGCAATTTTTGATCCCATGATAAAGACAGACCATCTCTATTAACTGTTTGTTTTTTGTTTTTGTTTTTGTTTTAGACAGTGTCACTCTGTCACCCAGGCTAGAGGGTAGTGGCACAATCTTGGCTCACTGCAACTTCTGTTTCCCAGGTTCAAGTGATTCTCATGCCTCCTGAGTAGCTGGGATTACAGGCATGAGCCACCACACTCAGCTAATTTTATATTTGTAGTAGAGACAGGGTTTTGCTATGTACACCAGGCAGATCTTGAACTCCTGGCCTCAAGTGATCCATGCGCATTGGCCTCCCAAAGTGCTGGTATTACAGGCATAAGCCACCCATGCCTGGCCGGGTTTTCTGTTATTATAGTCCATAGCTGCAGACCCTGGAACTTCTTCTGATTTAATGCTTATATTTAATCTTTAATAAATTTAGGCATCTTTAATAAAATTTTAGCAAGTTTGAAATTTTACTTGTTTGAAGATAGGCCACTGTCATTATTTTGGCTTGTGAGCACCAGGTTACCAGAATGCAAGAAGTCCACAAAGACTGAAAAATGTTAACTGCAGCAATATCTAAGTGGGTAGTAGTATGTTGGTTAGGGCTTTCTTTGCTTTTTTAATGCTATATAAGCTCTTAAAGAAATGGCTGCCAGCAACCAGGATGTTCTAAGGAGCCTTAAAGATGTTCTGCTTACTGCAGTGCTGACCCCACAAAGGGTGCCTTTCTTTCTTGGTTCATTTTGTTGTCACAGAAGTTGACAGCAGTAACAGTTCTCATTTGGTCTACAAGTAAAGTCACAGTACCCCTCCTCTGGTGGTATTTCTGACTCCTTGACATTGGCTTCATGGAGTTTGTACTCAGCAGACATGTGGTGTACACAAGGGAAGGGTTTTCTTGCCATTGTGGGTCCCCGCAAAAGGCTCATCATTCCCCACTTGGGGAAGGTTCAGACCTCCATCATCCATGGGAGTCTTTTGGCACCAACCCCAAGATATAAGACCAGTATCCTTGGAATATTGCAGCCAGGGAAAGTTCTTGAGCTACGAGGTCTGGGAGGAGCGCTACAGCTTCTGCACTAGAGACTTAGACTGCATGAGTGGGAAGTTCTGGACAGTCTCCCTCACCAGCTCCTACACTGCTGTCCTTCACAGAGGAATGTGTTTGATCACTTATTGTAAGAAGGAAGTCACAGCTAGAGAAGGGAAAGAGGACTGAGAATGGCCACCTTAACTTTAAAAGGGAAAAATGGTTTCCATTTAACCCAATATCATACACTAAGAATCCCATATTTGTAGAAATAAACTTAGAGTTCTACCTGACCTAAAACATTCCAGTTTACAATCATAGCAATACATAAAGGAAAAAAGCTACCACTGTTAAACCACAGAGTGCCCTGGCTTACAAAACAGATGTGAAAACAATCAGAGGTTAACATTTGTTGATGTCCTAAAACTCAAATTAAATATGCTTAGTGCTCTCATATTTGAAAATGGTAATGCAACTGTTATTGGAAAACTAGATCTGGGAAAAGACTCTATTAGTTTAAGGCAATATGGAAGTTGATATGGATATAAGATCATAGAATGAGTCTACAATCAATAATTCAGCAAAAGCTAACGAAATTAAGTAAACTTATTTTTGCACTTAAACACGTCCAACATTTTGGCATTTTCAGCAATGAGAAAGGAGTCCTATAAAATTCACAGAACTGCAACTTGATGACACAGCCATGATGAGGGGATTGTCTGTCTCTAGATTAGGAGCTGGCAAAATCTTTCTGGAAAGTACTAGATAGTAAATATTTTCAGTTTTTCAGGCCATAGCATCTCTGTCACCACGACTCAGCTCTGCCATGGCACCACTGCAACACCTGTGGGTAGCGTGTAATGAACGGCTGTGTCTGTGTTTCAATTAAACGTTGTGTATGAACACTAAACTGTGCATATAGTCTTTACATCACAAAATAGTACTTTTCTTTTTTTTTTCCAATTATTAACAAATATAAAAACCATTCTTAACCCACAAGCAGTACAAAAATTAGGCTGTAGTTTCTTTGGCTTTCAGGACATAATTTTATGGTCCTGGGCATAGTGGAATCGAAATAACCTATCTAAGGTCAACTTTGAGGGGTTTTCTCTAAGGGGCAAGTCACAGCCCAAATATTTCTGAGCTACTAGATTGCAATGTATGAAAGTAGAAGGTGAAGATGAATGACTAGAAATAGATTTTGAATCATTTTCTAGTTAGGTAGGGAGCCAGTGAGGAATTAGAGTAGTGGAAGTAACAAAAGGACACTTTGGTTGTATGGGCCTAAACTCTCTCATCTATGTGCTTTCTGATACTCCCTCTGTTTCGAGTAAAATTATTCCATTTGGTTGAGTGAGACTAA